TGGCACACATTAGAGCAGTATGTGCCCAACGAGATCCGGAACCTGGGTGTTTCCAACTGCAACCTGTTTACTTTGATGGACATCTACGAGCGCGCCCACATCAAGCCGAGCGTGGTCCAGAATCGATTTTATCCAAACACCAAGTTTGACATTGGAGTTCGTCAATTCTGTAGGGAGCAGAATATCGTCTATCAGAGCTTCTGGACTCTGTCGGCCAACCCGAACCTCGTCTGGTCCAGTGAAGCGGGTGCTTTGGCCAACCAGCTTGGCATCAGTCCCCAGTCTGCCTTGTACTGTTTGGTGCTCGGGTTGGGGAATGTGACTGTCCTCAACGGGACAAAGAGTGATCAGCATATGCAGGAGGATTGGCGAGCTGTCAAGATAGTGAAGAATTTTGCCCAAGCTCACCCCGAAGGATGGGAAAAGGCAATGGCGGGTTTCCGAAAGCTCATCGGACAGCCCAAGGCTTAGATATGAGAGTACCTGATAGAGACGATGGTGGATTGAATCGCGATGGCCCCCAGCAGCTGACATATTGAGACAGTACTCAGCTTGGTTAGCATGGAGGAGAGTTTCCCCTCCTGATCCGCAAGGCTTGACTGAATGGACGGGAGCCGGGCTGTGGAGCAAAATGTAGCAGCCGCCTGGTTGGTTGGCGCCGGCTGGCGCAGTTGGCGCAGTTAGCACACAATGCCTTCCTCGTGAGTACGAGTATGTCATAGGCTCCCGCAGTGGCAGTTTCTCCCCTGTACCTACCTAAGCACCTAAGGAAACTGACATCCCAAGACTGCGGACTGAAAAGCAAACTCCTCCAGGACCATCAGATCCGGGACTTTCCCAATCCCATACCGTTGAAAATGCTCGAACTTAATCACACCACTTGCCCACTGTCGATGATATAAAGGCATATTGGATGCTCTTTGGGGGTATTCTGCTTGACACAATTGACATTGATTTCTGTTTGTCATCTGGTTGGCTGTTCATAATTTGGCCGCGATCTTGAACAATACCGCAGTTGAATATCTCAGCCCACTTGCCCGCCCGAACTTTGTGCCTGCGCGCACCCGACATACACATCATTTTCCTCGCAGCAAGTCCTGACTATCTGCGGTGTGACCTTTTCTCTGGTAGTGTGATCCTGGCGATTTTCACTTGGCCGGGCTCTCGGCGACGTCGAGCCTCACCCCGTCGATAATTTCACATCTCCCACACGTCCAAAACATCCCACCTTTCACACGCCTGAATTCTTCTTCTTCGGCCTCACGACCTCCCCTCCTCTCCTCTCTTATCCTACCGGTAGCAATGGCCTCGCAAGGCTTCTCCAGAAAACGACCTGCTCCAGGCGCCGATCCGGTTTCGTATCCGGCTCAGATGCAGAATGCTGCGCCCACGTACAACGACGGCCTTGGGCCGCAACTCTCCAATGACCAGTTCCTTCAGTGGGGTCAAACCGGTCAACCTGTTTCTGGTCCCTCATACAATGAAACTAGCTTTGGATTGAACGCAAACACCTATCCTGCGGGCAATTCTCAACCTGTTCCTCAGCCTTCAAATCAAATCGCCCGACGGCCTATGGCCCAACTTGCTGCACGGGTGCCCCGACCGAGCGAAGACGGGAACAGCTGGACAGAGCATCCAAATGGAGGCGCACATCCCACAAACCCGGAATGGGAAGATGACATAGCAGAGTTGGAGGCAAGAGCACAGGTCGCAAAGAGAGAAGCTCAAGCAAAAAGGAAACAGATACCTCCATTTGTTCAGAAGCTTAACAGGTGAGAGAGAGTAGACCTTGAGGGAAAAAAGTGCAAGAATTGGTGCTAACGAGTGCACAGCTTTTTAGAGGACGGCAGAAACACCGACCTTATCCGTTGGTCAGACGATGGAAACTCATTCATTGTCCTGGATGAGGACGAGTTCGCAAAGACACTGATCCCGGAGCTGTTCAAACACAATAACTATGCTTCTTTCGTGCGTCAACTCAACATGTACGGCTTTCACAAGAAAGTCGGCCTTTCCGACAATTCCATGAGAGCCAGTGAACGTAAAAACAAGAGTCCAAGTGAATACTCAAACCCCTACTTCCGCCGCGGTCATCCAGACTTGCTCTGGTTGATACAGAAGCCGAAAAACATCGGCGGACCTGCCTCGAAAAGAAAAGGCAAACCGGACAACGATCAGAACGAGGAGGACGCCGACGACTTCGTGGATGAGACGAATGCCGTTGATAACCGAGTACGTGCCCGACCGGGCCAGCTCACACTGGGAAGCAGTGAGATGGCTCTCACCCAGGATCAATTCAAGAGCGTACAGCGTGAACTGGCAGCCATCAGACATCAGCAAACTCAAATCTCTCGTATGATGCAACAACTCAAGCGTGAGCATGAACAGTTGTACGGGCAAGCGGCGACCTTCCAAGACCAGCACAATCGACATGAGAACTCAATCAATGCTATCCTGACGTTCCTCGCCACAGTCTATAACCGCAGCCTTCAAAGCCACGAAAGCGTACAAGGTATTGCCAACCTTTTCCAAAATGCGATGCCCGTCGACACATCAACTCAGGGTAATGTGGTTGATGTCGGCGACTACAGCTTCAATGACATCAACCTCGATGGTAGCCCTGCGAAGCCGTTTAAGAAACAGCCTCTGCTACTGACTAACGGAAGCGGGCAACCACAAGCGCCACAGCAGCCACACGGTCGAGCGAGCACGTTATCACCTCGGTCTGGCAACAGTCCTTATCTTACCCCTAAGACAACAGGTCACCGCAGCGGACAGTCCCAATCTCTGCTCTCACCGAAGCTTGAAGACGTTTTTGATCCTGGGGTCCATAACCCTAATAGTGCCAACGTCTCCTCTGTTAATCAGGCACGCAGCGATCTGCCGTCCCGGGACATGATGACAATGATACAAAACGCCAATGCGAGGAACAATCACTCTGCAAATTCCCCAACCACACCGGCGCAAGACTTCTCCAATGTCCTCAGCAATCTTGAAGCATCCTCCGGTACAGGACCGTTGTCCACGGCTCAGCGTGCTGACGTCCTCCGTATGATCAACAACTCCGCCAACCAACCCGCGGGCAATGACAATGCACTCATAAACGCCACTCCACCGCCCGGACCTCCGAACTTCCATCGCCGGCTCGCCAGCACACAAGCAGACTTGGAACAACTCGCCAAGTTACAAGCGGAGCAGGACAAATCTGTTCAAAACCTCACCAACTTGCTGCAGCCGCTATCTCCGACCGGTTCGATCCCCGGAATTGGTGACGGCCAGTCTTTTCCACCTCCGCCCCTGGACATTGACGACTTTTTGACTCACAACGAGTACTTTGGCGATTTTGCTAGCGACGGGAACGGCAACTACGACTTCGGCAACACAGGACTGGGTGGAGATCAATTAGGGACGGCCGACCACATGAACTTTGCTTACAAAGATGATGACGAGCTGTTTGGAAACTTGAACAACGACAACACAGCTGGGTTCGGTGGGTTTGATGGGACCAATGCGGGTGCGGGTATGGGGGTTGGTGTGGGTACCGGCATGGGGGCAGATCAGTACGGCGGTAACACTGGGAATCTCAAGTTCGACCAGGCGGCCCAGTACACAGAGCATGATGGTGGAGGACGGGTTGAAAGCGTGCCGAGTAGCGAAGTCACTACTCCCAAGTCAGACAAGTCTGGTGCCAGCCGAACGGCGACCAAAGGCAGGAAACTGAGCGAGGTTGAAGAAGAAAGCGTCGGAAGGAAGAGAGTGAGGGCCTGAGGGCCTCGGGCAGTGGAACATCACTCTACGATATGACCGCGAAACCGAGGACGACGCCGCGGAAGGGGATTATTTTTCCGCGGAAGAGAATCTAGGCAGAAAGAACAGAAGAAGGAATCACACAGGAGGAAAACAACCTAGATCGCTCACAGCAATTGATGGACGGATTACTTCTTGAAGAGATCAGCCTCCATTTCGCCCTGACCGGAGGCTATCGCAATGTGTACGGGTTTTCAGGACATTCGGGATTTCCCGGACATGGTGGGTGGAACTTGTTATTGAACATCATGACACAGCGGGCACAACAATGGCAGCAGCACGGACAGGCACAGTGAATGATGCTGTGTGACGAACAAGATGAAACGAACAAAATCCGGTATGGAGTGTGTTTTTATTATCTATTTTGGGGAGAACCGAACCTTCCCAGAAAAGGAAATGAGACATCAAGGCATAGATACCCAAGATACCCCTTTTTTTCTCCTCCATACCACGATTGGAACCATGTTTCCAACCTACCATCACGATCGGCAGAGCGGCAGGGGCACAGGCACAGGAATGGGCACAGAAAGCCGAGCGGAGGTGTCTTCTCTCAAGGAAGAGCAAGATAGCGAATGCACAAAGGGTTTCTGGTATTTGCTACTTGCCCGGTGCCCAAGGTGCCCAATTTCTACATGCGAAGTGTATGGAATCTCAGATGGATTTCAAAACACGCCCAAAAGGAAAAACAAGGAGAGGAAAAAGATTGAAATGAACATGGATTGTGTATGCGCTGGAAGATATGCAAGTGCAATTGCAAATTCAAATTAATCAGGTTATGAACTTCATTTCACTTTACTTTTTGCCATGTCCGTTGCTGCTCTTGTTTGGGTTTTCACTGCCATTTTGGCTTGATCTTTGACTTTCTCCGATGTTGCATATAGATACTACCACGGTGCGAGTACGGTTATGGGGTGCGTGGGTGTGATTGTATTCGGCGCTCGGCCCTGGGGCACGCTGTCACCTACCTGGTGAACCTGGCGAGCAGGGACTGAAATGGATACCACACGCCATTGTGAGCCTGTCGAGGAGAATGAATGGGGTCGAGGACAGTAAATGGCGATGGCGACCGATGGTGGCGACAGTGTCGTCTACACATACACAGGCAGGTAGGTATGAATTATGAATTTTGGTAGTGTTCACGTGCCTCTCTCTCCCTCTCCCTCTATTTATATATATATTCTGTCCTTTGCGGATTACTCCCTCTTCTTCACCCTGGGAAAACTCAACCACAGGCCCAAGAGCACGACGAGCAGCGCGAGGATGATGGGCTGGAGGACCTTGACGCCCTTGGACGCGGCGATGGCGCCGATGGCGAAGGGGAAGACGGTGCCGCCGGTGCCGCCGAGCGCCATGGCGAAGCCGATGCTGCTGACGTGGATGTGTCGCGGGAGCAGTTTCGCCGCCATCATGACGCAGCCGGGGAACATGGGGCCGAGGAAGAATCCGAGAAATGCCACGGCCACGGCGGACACGAGGAACGTCGGCACAAGCCAGAAGATCAGCTGCAGCGCAAGGCACAGCGCCAGGTAGATGGAGATGCAGACGCGTTCGCCGAACCGCTCGGTCACGAACCCCAAGCACGCTCGGCCCAGCGCCATCCCCGCCCAGAAGCCTGTGCCGGAGTAGCCTGACGCGGAGGGCGAGGCCGACCGGACGCGTAGCATGAAGGTCACGATCCAACCGCCGAGTCCGACTAGGTGGGTTGGCTCCCCGCGAAAGGCGGAGGGTATGGTCAGTTTTCGATTCTCACTTGAGAGTTTTGCTGGGGAAAAAAAGAGGGGAGGAATGGACGGATTGAGGTTGAAAGAGAGATGTATCGTGGACTTAGACACTCACCTTCAATGCCCATGTACGTGAAAAAGAAGGCAGAGCAGATCCAGGTGATTTTCGACTTCAGCGCCTCCTTAGTGCGGCCGCCCGTCGCCTCGGTGTCCCGTGGATGCTCGATTCGGTACACCTCCCCTGTCTTGTGCCAGAAAACGGTGCTGAGACCGATGAATTCTAGGGCCGACATGCCAGTCTGGTCGACGCCATTGCACCAGGGCGTTAGCAATTTCTGGTCCGTATGTTTTGTTTCCCTGAAGAAATGTGCGGGTGGACTTCGCCACGTTGGTGGTCACTACTCACCATGAAGTAGTAAAACGTGTACCACGGCAGCTTCGCATGGACGACCATGGACGTGGCAATCAGCGGGGCGATCAGCGCGCCGACCGAGTAGAAACTGTGCAGGCAACCCTGGACGGCGTTGGCCTTGTCCATGGCGCCGATCCAGGCGCAGAAACAGGCGTCGGTGAGGCCGTTGCCGAAGCCGGAGACGGTGTTGATCACGACGAGGACGGGGAATGGCGGGTGCGCGGACAAGACGGCGTAGGTGATGATGTGGCACAGGGGAGCGAGGATGGCGATCCCTCGCTGGCCCAGTTTCGTGTGGATGGCGGCATTGGTGAATGCGGCGAGGGAGTAGCCTGCAAAGGGGGTGAGGAAAATCAGAGAGACGGTCGTGTAGTTCAGGTGATAGTACGTCTCGAGCTGCGTTGGCTTGTGAGAATGTAGTCAGACACAACCAGGGAAGGGAACAGAGGACGCACGTATGGGATCAGTGCCTGTATCAAGGGAAGACGCGCATTAGCATATCTCGATCCAACTCAATGAAGAGGTGGTAGAGGTTCAGATCAGAGGCATTCGTACTCCGACAGCACCGTCGTTGAGACCCGTGACGATGAATGAGAAAAAGGCAAATCCTAGACGACCGATATTTCCCCTGGGCATATTCCACCGCTGAATGGCCGGCGGCGCATTGACTGGCGCAGGCATTCCATTGTGAACAGTGATTTCTTCTTCGTCCGATGACGATGATGTTTGGGCGCCTCCGGTCGTTGGTAATGAAGCTTTACCTCCCTGGACGACTCGACGGGTGAGTTCTCGTAGTGACTTTGTGGGTGTTTTGAGACTCAGTTCGAATGTCTCGGGTGTTGTGGATGGACCGTCCTGGCGATGACGATGATGAGGTTGATAAGCCCCATCAGTCGGCGAGATGGTCATTGTCTGCGATTTGGACATTGTTGCCGATGGCCTGGGTTTAGAGACCAGAGCCCGTAGATGGATGATGCTGTGTCGGCTTCGGCGGTGAGGGGTGATTGATTTTTGATACTCAAAGATCTTCATTCAGAGATGCCACAAATGTAGAGGCGTCGTCACATCCATCTCTCCTCGAATCATCGAGTCTCTTTCCAAAAGATCCAGCGTCAAAATGATGTGGTAACTGAGGGTGAGTCAAGGAGTAGATGAAGCACCAACTAATTACTTGTAAGTAATATGTTCCTTGATGTGCGTCTAAGTCTCCACTGCCCAGTTTTGTCAATGATCCATTCGGCAGCTTCGCAGGTGTCGATGGTTAATAACAAAGAGTCATTCAGGCGAATTTATTAATAATAGAAAGACTCGCCAAAGTCCGATGCGGATTCCTTACCCTCGATGCTCTCTTTACATGCATATTCTCTACCTCTACGATATACAAAACAATGAACAACAAGTTTATTCCCATCTAATGGACGAGGTTGGTTGGTGACTAGCCACTTTGACGCCTGTCCTCTAGATCCGGCCCCTATCAACCCTGTCCATCAGGGCGCCCTAATACGTGTGCGCTTCATGAACCCCTAGTCGGGTGCCTATGCCGATCATGGTCAAACGACAGAGTGAGGCGCAGCTCCAGCCTGGCCACAGCCTTTAATGGCATCGACAGCGTCAGTTGAACAACTTCAAACCCTTTCTTCTCTTTTCTGAGTGCTCACTGCAATTGATCGACATGATGAATACCGTGAGTGTATTGGCAAACTTCAATTCCGGCCACGGGCTGGGGAGCTTAACCCAATATGCATGCATCGGGGCAAATATCATGTTCCTGTCGAGCGCCATCATCACTTCCTTCGCCTCGATGTTGGGAGATCCCTTCAACCACTTCAATTCCCATCCATATTGGATGTTTACAAACTTTTGTTCCTTTGCAGTGGTGAGTGACTCTGACTAGATTCCGACTGAAGAAGATATCCGTTCCCCAGGAGACAACACAGACGTTCTAACGGTCCGTCACCAGGCAAGCGCCAATATTAGCGTCGCCGGAACCATCTCGTCACGCTTTCGCAATGTCGCCGACAGCGTGCCTGAGCCGGGCTTGGAAGACAAGCGCGTCCAAACCCTGAAAACGGCATTCTACCTCAGTACAACCCTGTGCACAGTCTTTGCCGTTGCCACAGCCCTACTGGCCGGGATATGGGGACGAGCGGCGTCTGAGAATGTTGCTTTTGTGGTGCCATGCACTTTTGGCGCCATTGCTGTGTGTGTCTCCCTCGTACTCCTCCGGGTTCTATTGCGACGAAACTAACAAACCGACTTCTGTAGACTGCTGGACCTGGCTGCAATTATGGATAACTTCAAGCGATTCAAGGAAGAAACTACATCTGTGGAACTGGAATGATTGAATAGATGGTGGACACGGAGAGGGATTGCGGGTGAATATCATGGTACCGAGATTATTTGGCAGCCTAAATTTGTTTTATCTTTCTTCCATGATTCTTTTCCCTGCATTATTCTAGCACCACACACAGCACCCTCCGGACCACAGCCACAAGCCACCCCCATTACAGCTTGCGGCCTAATTGACCCCCTCACCACGTCATCTGAAACCGCCCCTGCCTGGGCCAGGAGACGGATGATGTGGTCTCGACGACGACTCAAGGGAACAAATGACCCTAGTGCTCCCGAGTGGCCAGATCGAAATGGCTAGTTCCTGATACTGTCGATGTCAATATTTCATGTCCAAATGTCCGAATCACCAACTGCCTTGCGCTCAGTCCCACTTCATCAAACGAGATGCTGAGCTGGTGGTGGAATGAGCCCAAAAGATTGCAGCCAAATGGCCAGAGCCAACTTCGATGCTCCAATTTCATAGAGTTCGAGCGAGCAGTCCGAAGAGCGCGGAGCAAGAGCGAGAGGGACACAGATTTCGTCAGATTGCATTCAAGCTACGGCGAACTCGATCAATGCGCACGCGACAGGTGTAGGGGGTGCAGGGTTGTCCGACAGGCACTGCTCCTGTCCCAAATCACTGGTGATGATGTCAAGAAGATGGAAGAACGAGATGCACCCGTCTATCTCAGGTTATCGGCAGGAGAGACTGGGCGTCGTGGTCAATCGACGCTGCAAGTTCGTCTGGGTGTCTCACGCGCGAGCAGCATCCTGGTAAACATTGCACTCACCACCAATATCAGACCGTCGTCGCTTAGGGAGGACCCCTTTGTCTCGGTCGTCTCCAGGACCAAAGACTGGCTGCAATGCTGCCGTGAAGAGCACCAGTGCAGCCTCCTGACGCAATCTGGCGAGCACCCAAGACGGCTGATTGAAGTTGTGTCCGAGACGACATTGCGGCTGATCGATACGTCGGAGTTGGCAACCGGCCAAAAACTTGACTACGTTGCCTTGAGCTACTGTTGGGGCCAGGGACACTCTCGAGGTAGGACCACGCCGTGCAATCTTGACAAACGCAGGATTCGATTCGAAATCTCGGAGCTCCCGAAAACGATAAGGGACGCTTTGAGTCTGGTTCGAAGACTCGAACTGAGATATCTCTGGGTTGATCAAGTCTGCATCTCCCAGAAAATCCAAAGGGACCAAAACACGATTATCCAAGGCGACGATGAGGGTGATGGCTTCGATGATTGTGAAGGGGATCTCTGTTCAGCTTGCAACCATGATGCCGGCGAGGATTGGGACGCCGAGGCTTCGAGAATGCATGTCATCTACGGTAACGCCGTTTTCACTCTGTGCGCCTGTTCAAGCAAAAGCTCAAGGGATGGCCTCATTTGGCCTCGGAAAGCGTGGACTCACAAAGTTGTTCCTTTCTACTTTGAAGGTCAATGGCTCGTCAACTACGACATGAGTCTCAACCAAGTGAGGGCAACCGCGCCATTGTCCAAGCGCGCGTGGACTCTCCAAGAGGAGCGACTGTCCCCCCGACTGTTATACTACTGCGGTCAGAGGGTCTACTGGTCTTGTGTGGAGAAGCAGGGCACAGAGATCGACATCCGCAGCGCAGGGAAGCACGATGGCGGTGGTGTCACCCTTTTCGAAGAAGAGGACGGATTCGAGCAGATGAGCGTGGCCCAAGGTTTTTATCAACTCTCGCTTTGCAGGGGAACGGGCTCGCTTACACCAGGAATGGAGTGATGTGATCGAGGCTTACTGCCCACGAGAGATCACCAAAACCACGGACCGATTTCCGGCCATTTCTGGTCTGGCAGCACAGTACCTCTCAACCTATGTCACTCCAAACCAGGAATATCTCGCTGGTCTTTGGCGCGACACATTTCCCGAGGACCTAGCGTGGTCGGTCAGGACGGCCGGTGACCCGCGGAAAGCCCTCGTTGATATCGCACCGAGCTGGTCTTGGGCATGCCTTCCTGTCGGGACCCACATTAGCACCAAGCAAAACTTCAAACGGAGCAATGGGTTTGAAGTGCTTGGAGTACCTGTCGTGAGAAAGAACCCTAGAGAGCGCGAAGAGAAAGACCGGAATATTCTCCATGCTTGCCAGGAGGGAGCAAAGAAGAAAAGTGTCTCTGTGAGAGGATACCTACGACGAATCATACACCCGGAGTCAGACCGCGTTGGCTGGTCCAAGATAACAGCACGCGGCGGGAAGAACAAGTACGATCTCTCAAAATACGTAGCTCGCCACGTCCACGCACGAAACCCCGAAGATGGCCAGCTGGTGATATGCGAGCCCAACAGACAACCGATTGAAGCACAACTGGACTATTTACTTCCCCGGGACAACAGCGTTGATGGCTCCAATGCAGAAATTCACGTGGCAGCTGGTGTGGAGAGGGACCTGTATGGTTTACAAATAGGTCAAAGGGTAATGCTCTTGCTCCAGTTCAGGCTCTGCAGCAAGAGACCGCAGGAAGCAAACGATTCAGATGTTCACACTGGGAACCCTTCCTGGTCGACTGTCTTTCGACGGGTAGGAATCTGTCGAAATGTACGAGAGACCTTCTTTGAGGGCGCTGAGTTGGCCCGACTTGATCTGGAATGAGAAACAACACTGTGGGTCAAGTCGCCAGGATCAGCCGGAACAAACAGTTTCGAAGGGATCATATCGACTTTGGACTTCTCACTCCTTTCCCGGGACCAGTAGGGGAGATTCAAGCATGACAATGGGTAATATCTAAGCACGGAACCCTTCTCTAACAGCCTCCTGGGGCTACATCAAGTGTGCCGTTGAAAGAATCTGTATTGGACGAGGCTCCCCATGCAAAGCTCTGTTGTTGCATTGCTGGCTGCCCGATGAATCCAGCATCTCCCCGCAATGATCGGCACAGATCATATGCCAGTACAGGACAAAGCGTCGACTCCACGCAGGAACCGATGTAACCGCTACATCAAACACATCAACTTCACTGTCCTGGCCCCGCATGACTTGCTTCACTGTGTCAGTCACCTTATTCACTATAGCCCATAATGAGATCAATCTAAGTTCACAGGTGAGTGGGAAGTGAAAGATCCTGAACACAACCACGAAGAGTTTCTCCCAGGTAAAGAAGTTCTCTACCAACGTCGCCTCTTCAACGGCACGATGTTGTCTCTACCGTGCCTCAACATCCATCTCTTTCTCCTTGTCGCTGCTTGCCTCGCTCAGGAAGTGAACTACACGTGTCCGAACCCGGTTGTCTACTTCACAGAGAACCACGGGCCCTTCTCAGCTGGGAGGTTCAATCTCTCGTACCAACGTCCACCACAGCACTGCCGCACCTTCAATTTATCCGAAGTCGAAGACGTAGTTTCGAACCTGAAGAGCCATATATCCGACCCGGACTTGTCACGACTCTTCGAAAATGCCTTTCCCAACACTCTCGACACGGCCATCCGTTGGCACGGGTTCGCAGGCAACAACTCACAGGAGGAGCTGACTTTTGTCATCACAGGCGACATCAATGCAATGTGGTTGAGAGACTCGTCGAATCAGCTGCAGTCGTATTCATCCCTGTTGAAAGCGAATAGCTCCTCTGACTCGCTGGCGTCCTTGTACAGAGGAGTCATCAACCTCCAATCACGCTATATCAACACATCGCCCCATTGCAACAGCTTCCAACCTCCCCCAGAATCCGGCGTCGAGCCTGCTGTCAATGGCTTTGCTGCGACCGATGTCGTTTTCCCACCAGTCACTAACACAACGGTGTTCGAGTGCAAATACGAGCTCGACAGCCTTGCGGCGTTCCTTCAAGTGTCGTACAACTACTACAATGCCACGTCCGATTTGGACTTCTTCAATCGCTTTCAATGGGTCGACACTGTTCAAACGATCATGAACACGGTTCTGAACCTCACTGTGGGCACGTACGACTCTGACGGCCGCGTACTTGACCAGCCGTATACGTGGAACCGCACCGCCAACTCGGCCACTGAGTCCGTCTCGAACCTGTACCGTGGAAATCCTGTCGTCGGCGGCACCGGGCTGATTCGAAGCTTCTTCCGCCCGTCTGACGACTCGTGCATCTACCAGCTCTTCATCCCAGCCAACATGATGTTCTCGCACTATCTAGGGCTTTGCGCGGATATCATGCAGAGCCTCCAAAACCCTGTTGCCGCGACATTGGCCTCCAACATGCGCAACCTATCTGCCACCATCCGCGCTGCCATCCAGGCTCACGGGATCTACCACACGCGCGGCAGCCACCGGGTCTACGCGTACGAAGTTGACGGCTACGGCAGCTACAACACCATGGACGACGCGAATATTCCGTCGCTGCTCTCCGCGCCATTCTTTGGCTACGACGCCGCCACTGACCCGGTCTACCAGGCGACTCGACGCCTGCTCCTCTCGCCCGCAAACTCGTATTACATGCGCGGCCCCGTGCTCAACGCGACCGACGGACCACACGTTTCCTTCGGCCACGCCTGGCCCATGGCGTCCATCGTCCGGGTCCTGACCTCGGGAGATGACGACGAAATCCGCACCGAGCTGCGCCAGCTGGTCAGCAGCACGGATGGGCTGGGCCTGATCCACGAGAGCGTCAACTCGTGGAACGCGAGCGACTGGACGCGGCCGTGGTTTTCGTGGGCCAACGGCCTGTTTGGCCAGATGGTGCTGGACCTAGCTGGGAGGAAGCCGTACCTTTTGACCGAGTCATACCAATGAATCTGACCGATCCGAGTTGGACAGGATAAGACAGGGCGGGCAAGGGCCAGGCAGGTGATCAAAGCGAGCATTGTAGAGAGAGAGTGATCGGTAACACACCAGTGGCGATGGCAGACTCGCAGACTCGTCCCTCTTGGAGAGTCATTTCTCCCCTTCCTTTCTCACTACAGACCATGCTTCTCCTCCTCTCATGAACAGAACGGATAAAGAAACAAAACCCCGGCCCTATGTATGGCATACGAATGGACGTAGAATCTGACGCTCTCAATATCTCATCGCCATAATACTGGCGGTAGCGTGTCATCGTCCCCAGAACCAATATAACTGTATATTTTCCGTTCTATTGGTATGGGAAGAAAACTCGGTAATCCGGCATCTTAATGTATCCCGTCCCCGTCCCGTCCCCTGCTACTTCGTTCGAGGTTCGGTCAGGGGTCATGGTCAGGGTCGGCCGGTCTGATGACAGGGTTTCTAATAACAGACATTTCGAGGTCGGAATCTCGACACGAGGACTTTCCATTTCCATCTCTGGACCTGAGTGTGGCCCTGAGGCTCGCCGCTTCAACCTGAGTTACTTTCGCACGTGACTGAGCACTGTAGAGTGCGGCCTGAGCAGTGGCGCCCATATCTGGGCCAGGGCCGGCTTCCCGGCACCCGCCTATAGTTGCCAATTTATCGCCTCGGCCAAGCTTACAGTACCCATAACCTGTCCCACCAATTCTAGTTGACGTCATGGTTACAAAAGTTCCTTTCTCTAAATTGGGTTAAGTCTGGGTCCAGCTTCGCCATCATCCCACTCCCCTTGCAGTTCCGCATCCCCACAAGGACAACGAGTCAAGTGCTCGATTGCTCAAGGCATGTTGGCGCTTGTGTGCTGTTATATCATCAAACATCGCGGTGTTCGCGATTGGTGGCAAACAGCCTATCACGAAATATTCCGGCCACGGGTCGATCTGGCAGCTGTCTGGCTGGCCAAAGTCAAGGTTCGTTACGTTCCTTCGACAAACTTTACTACTAGAGACCATGAGGAAAATCTTTTATCCGACATATCATGCTGTAACGCCAAGCCCAACTATTAGTTGGTCTCACCCAGCCATTGAAAGCCGAAGCTATCCCAACAACCTTTTCAAACCCCTTGATCACAAGCAGAAAAAGGACCCAAATCGCCTTCCACCACAAGACAATCGGTGAATTAAACGCACAGTCCGAACGTTTTCGCGCAGGGTTATTCCACTATTATTATCTATACTGATTACGTTGTACTTTCCCCTTCTTCTACCTGTCGATACGATATTAACCCGTGGTATCATGCCCGTAAAGCTTCAACTGTCTGATAAGCAAATCTCTTATTCGGACGTGAAGGACGACGAATCGAATGTATTACACAAACTTACGGCGTGGGATCGACGGTGCAAATTCTTCAATCACCTATATCGAAATCAGAATATTCTTCGTGCAGTTACTGCGCATCATCTTGGATTGAATGTCAAACTATGCAAAGTATCAGAACCAGAAGAGTGGATTTATGGCAGCTTCAATCTATGTATTCCGGTCTTTATCTCTAGTAACAAAGGGCAACCAACAGAACGGGTTATTATTCGATTTCCACTACCGTATAAGGTAGGCGGCCCAGAAAATGCGGACGAAAAGCTTCGTTGCGAGGCTGGCACCTACATCTGGCTTCAGCAAAACTGTCCATCCGTCCCAATCCCTCGCCTATATGGATTCGGACTCTCGACGGGTCAGAGGGTAAGAGGACTAATCGGGTTTTATAAACTTACTAACCTAACCTTAGTTTACTGCCATCGAGAAACTACCTCTCCTTCGCCGGCTGGCACACGATTTCTATCACCGACTACGAAACTGGCTGAAGCTCCCCGTCCCTTCGAGATACATTCGTCATCGAGGTGCAAGCTTTGACTCCTTGGGTTGCGGCTATCTTTTGATCGATTATATAGAAAAAAACGAGGGTGAAATGCTGTCATGCACATGGAACGAGAGGTATCAAGAGAAGGGACTGCGCAGGAACCTCTTTCGAAGCTTATCCCGGATCCTGTTGAACATCGCTCAAGTGCCACTTCCGCGCATTGGTTCCTTCACCGTGGACAATAACGGATTCTTACATTTAGGCAACAGGCCACTGTCGCTGGTAATGCATCAGCTTGAGAATGAGCAGATCCCCGTGGATATCCCTCGTCATCTAACCTACACTTCCGCAGACTCATATGTGATAGACATACTCAATTGTGTACACGATAGTCGGTTACGCCATCAACCAAACGGCGTCAGCGACACTGGTGACTGTATCTACCAGATGTCGGCTCTGGCCGCCATGAAAGCTACCTTATCACTCTTCCTACGACGCGACCTCCGCCATGGACCTTTTGTTTTCAGCCTGACCGATTTACATCAGAGTAACATTTTTGTTGATGAAAACTGGAATATCACCTGTCTTATTGATCTTGAATGGGCTTTCTCCTGTCCCGTCGAGATGATTCACCCTCCCCGCTGGCTAGCGAATCAGGCAATCGACCAGATGGACGAGAAGAAATACGACCCCCTCCGTCACGAGTTTCTAGATGTTTTGGAGAACACCGAGCAGGAGCTTTCCATTCAACCTCGACACAGACTTTCCGTTGTCATGAAACAAGCATGGAAGATGGGGACGTTCTGGTACACTTTGGCTCTTCGAAGTCCAATGGGGCTTGCTCGAGTATTCTACGATCACATCCAGCCGATACTCGCTAACGGGCATGAAGACAACGATGGGTTTTACCCAATTATGATGGAATATTGGACCATTGATACGAGGACGTTCATTGAGAGGAAACTAGCAGATAAGGAGGCCTATGACAGGAAGCTCCGTCAGGCGTTTGAGGACAAAGTAGAAAATCCCCGTTAAGGATAATTTCAGTTTCCTGTCGGCCCTTGCGAATGATCTTACTTCTGACTAGTTCCCACTTCCCTTGCCGCTCCTCCGGCCTTTCGAGCTGGCCTGTCGAGGGCGTCCAGCTTCTTCTGACCAGTCCCCTCTTCCCTTGCCTCTCCTTCGGCCTTTCGAGCTGGCTTGTCGAGGGCGTCCAGCTTCTTCTGACCAGTTCCTTCTTCCCTTGCCTCTCCTTCGACCTTTCGAGCCGCCTTCTGGAGGGACTCCAGCGGCTTCTGAATTCTCTTTGCTTTGACGGCATCCGAAGACGAAGAAAGTTGTCTCATGTCTTTGGGCTTGACTCTGAGAGCGATGTTTGCCTCTTCAGCAACGCCATCATAGGAGTCTGAGCGTCGATCGGCCATTCTTGTGATGGGAGCCTGAATCTAATTAGTTGAAAGACTGCTTCTCGATTAGCAAGTAGTCAAGCACTGATAAGAACTTGCACTCTTACATTTTTCAGGTAGAACGCTATTCAATAATGTGATCGTATAACGAGGCCTTGAAGATGGTAAACTTTGTCAAAGGTTGGGGCTGCAAAGGCCAGGCATATAATAGTGTTAACAAGCATTCGCGATTCCCGCCGAGCCGCGTTACTGACGGGGCTCACAAGAGCCACCAGAGAAGGCAACCTTCCCGAGTCACATGTAATCACTGAGAGGGGCATGGTTGGGCACCGATTCTCCATCCGAACCGAGGATCACTGCTAATTGACCAACTCCAGAGGGCAAAGTCTCCGAATAGGGCACATGTGGAACCATACCAGGCGGCCAAGATGCACATTCTCCCACCTTTCGCAGCGTTACAAAGGTGACACTCTTGCATCATTTTGAATCTGCAGGTTTTCTCCACTTTCTGGACGTACAAAGATGGCACTCTTGAATTCCCCGTCAGCTTCCCATTATTATTGATGAGTTGGCAAAGCTGCCCTACTCTTGGTGCAGAAGAGGCCCAGATCCACTCTCGCATTCCAGAGAATTGTTTGATTGATTAGCGCATGGCCCAACCACCTATCACCAGCATTATCCCTCAATTTACGCGCTTCCTCACATCACCATGGACGAGAGCGAAGACGCCTTATGGTTTTGACGACGCTATACAACGAGCACACCTGGATGCTACCGAACAGATCTTTTTGAGTGTTGACTTTAGAGCCTGGCTGTCATTCTTCCTTGCACAATCAAGACGCTCGGGACGTAGCTCTAACACTGCTGTCGATCGTACCCGACGGCTCTCTGCTGAGGATCAGCGGGAGGTCGCGAACCAGGTCTTCGCGGCCAAACCCCATGCTACAGTGAGTGTTGCAGTGGAAAAGTTGCGGAAGAGGTACACCGAACTATTGGGCGCTCCATCTAGAGCGGTGCAGCCGGCGATTGTGCCCTCAGTTGAAAGCCATTTGAGGTCATCGTCGCCTATCATGTCGTTCGCACAACCCGAACCTTTTTATCATGCGCTTCAAACAGCAACCACTGGATCATCCGACGGCAACCTTGCAACGAGTGCCGAAATAAGTCTGCCCTTGACGGCTTCGACGAGTCTGGAAGTGTCTGAGCTGCAGACGCAGACCATCGAAAATCCTGCTGCCGAACAATTACTTCAGATTTTCCCTATTTACTTGTGCGGTGCGATTAGCAAAATTGGCACAAGAGCCCGGATTTCAATGGTCTTCCCTTATTCTCTCGACCTTGTTTGTCTCATGGGACTAACTATTGAGTCGAACAAGGTTGAGTATATCGCGATGGAGCTATTCGGGATACATCTTGAGACAGCGGGTGAAGTTCGCTATATGATCCTGGACACTGGAGTGAGAGTTACCCCAGGGAAAGATCTGACGCTATCTGGTGCTCGGCCTAAGGGAATAGAAAGGCTATTAGGTCTATCAATGAGCCAGGAAATTGACATTATCCGGAAAGACGAAAAAGAAAAAGCGATTCCAGTTACCCACCTCGTCACCATGCAGATAAGCAGCGACGCCCGCAAGAATGCGTTTCTCAACGTGTCTCTTCCACAGACATATGGACTCCAGATTAGGAGATCTTTATTTTGACCATCAAGATCAACTTGACGACTCCACTACTCGTCCACCATCTCCCCAAAACACCAATGTCAGACCAGAGCGAAGAATTCCTTTCCCAGTGCTCCTGTTGATGTTTCGAATCTCTTTCAATTGTTTGCCCTGTAATTGAGCAAGGGTAACTTTATCGCATCGTTGCCAATAGACTCTTTCGCCTCTACCCTTGACATCACAGGGCGTACTTTCTCCATCCTTGTCAAAGTCGATTTCGTCGTCGTCGTCATCAAGGGCTTCATCTTGAAACTCGAGGGGCGCTTTCGTGGAGGCCTAAAGCATGGTTAGGAAGTCATCGCCCATGGATAAGAAGACTTGCCATCAAAATAATTCAGATGTCGATCACTCCGTGAGCGAACCTGATCGTAAATGACTCGCAATAATGTCGTAGCCGGAGATAGTGGGTGTAGGTGGGAATGGGGGCTGGCAGAAGATGGAGAGAGATAATGCAATCGTAACGGAACAGTGCAAACACTAGGAGATCAGGTTTAATGAAATCAGAAGGTATATTTTGTTGTCTGAATCAGAGTAAAATCATGCAGGTTGCGGACGGGGCCTTGCAGGATGGCGGGGTTAATTCTGAGCAAGAAGGTTTTGGGCATCAATAACTCCACGTGACTTTATCCGAGTCGGCGAGGTTCCCGCCACTGTTCGACGGCCAATGCCACTTTTTCAAGGTTGACACTATCAGGGTGACACTTTTGCAAGGTTGACACTTTTGCAAGGTTGACACTTTTGCAAGGTTGACACTTTTGCAAGGTTGACACTCTTGCGTCCTGCTGATAATCACGGGCACTGCAACAAACATCAAACCATATACTCGATTTAATGCATTCTCGATGCAATGCACGGCAATGCACGGCAATGCCGTCGTGACCTCCCACAAGACCTGTGTTAGATTAGGAGACTTACCGGATTGCTCATGGAGCTGTTTGACTCCGTTGAGGAGAACGGCTAGACGAGACTGGTGCACATATCAAACGTGTATAGTATTACTCCTTCCAGTCTCCTTCGAAGCCACTCACCGATGTCAGCAGTAGTACAGCTTTTCGTAACGCTATACAAGCCCCAATCGAGATGAGTACATTCGATGTACCTATTGAAATGTAGGGTCTCTCGGCAAAGGTTTGTTCATTGAGCTGTCTGACTCCGTTGAGTTAGAGAACGGTCGGTGATACGCAAGGTGCTTGCCTTCACGAGGATATAGTGGACTATCGGGTATAAGAACTGCTCTTGCCAACTTCTCTGGAAGCCACCGGACTCTTTCAGAAAGCCTCTCCAGTGCCATCATTTTTGCATCTGCTCAATTCAGCACACCTGTTCTCGCTGCGTCTCGGACATCTCGTTTCCAAAGGAACTCTTACCCCTCTCCACCTCTTTTAACACCACGCTTATCATGTCACAAAATCCCAGTGACCCTCCCAAGGAAACCCCTAAACCAGAGGCGAGCTCTCCCCAACCGGGCGACGACGAAAAGCCAAAGAAACCTCCGACTCAAAACGGAGTTAAGCAACCTACTTGGGACGATATCATTCGGGACCCAGGGCTGGATGGGCAGGAGAAGGATGGAGACTCTAAGGGCAAAGAATAAAGGTGTGATATGCCCCGCCCTGTGAAGCTCATCATCTGCGGGGTTGGAAGTTCTGTATGTCCTTCGTATTTTCCTGACATGTTCTCAGTTCTGACAGTATCACGGTGGGGATAGTTACCAAAATTCGCCGTCTTGGAGAGGCTTGTTTCCTTATTAATGTGTCTGTGGATGGGCTGGTTCTAGTGATATGTCAATCGATCAAGTGTAGGTGGTCTTTGCTTGTCGAGGAGACGTTCCCTTTCGAGAGAGTAGTCTGCCGAAGAATGCTTTTACTGTCTCAGGATGAATACTTCTCGTCCTCTCTAGCTGTTTGACGAGTTCGAATGTGGAAGTAGGATTATAATCAAGGCCCCATTCTGCGTACCGCCTCGATCGTGATTGCTGGACAGTAGCAATGGGCCTAGGTCTGGAATGAATCATCAGTGGACCATAACCGGGTTCAGGGGACCAACTTTATAGCCCTCGATACCCAGTATTTAGTATCATTTGTCTGTGAAAGGGCTTCCTCTTGTCGGGCTGGAGACTGATATTGTTCGACAGGATGTCGTGGTGTTCGCTTCCCCCCACCGTGCTGTTCTCCGTGTCAACGTGACGTGGAGGTGGATATAGGGTCACGTGGTATTGTAACCACACCCACCCACAAGGCTTGAGCTTTCGTTTTCCTGCTTTGTTGCTACACTAATATACTACGCCGACTATTCTAGCCAACGAAATGGCTGGGCATCAATAAACAAGGCAACTATTTTACACATTAACCAAGAACACTACGCCTTCGACAAAACGGCGTGTCTCAAATATTTAAACACCGGAATTTCTCAACCCTTTTGACCGAGCCGAATCCACGGCTTCTATCTTTGCTTTCGCTCGCAATATGTATCACACGCGCGGCGCTGATGATTCGGAATTCCTCGAGGCGGCCAAGGCTGTCCAACTCTTTGCCGAGGATATGATTCCAGGACAGCCCGGGTTATGGCATTTACCGCTTGAGCAAGTCGCAAATATACCATCCATAACGCGCTTGTACTCTCTATTCGAGAACACAAAAGTATGTTAGAGAAGATTTGTCTCTGGGTTATACCATGCGTATTAACTACATAAGCTTGCCACAATCATGAAACGCCGACAGCTAGAACACCCAGAAAAGCGCATCACTCTCCGCCATGGTCCGGATCTTATGTGGCATTCGAAACGGTCTCCTCTGGTACGAGAGAACCAATTTGTTGTAGCAATTGGGGTTAACAAGCCCTCCATACGACAAAATATAACCTCTTCAATGCTCAAGAGAAGTCATGGAATTGTTACTCGAGATGAAGATGTTCTCAAGTCGCGACAGAAGATCAATCAAGATGATGGGGAGGAACTTGTTACCACAAACGAGGATCAGAAAATGGTTGGCCGAACCACCGATGACATCGCTCCCACCACCACCGAAGCATCACCAGAACCATCGCCACAATGGCAGGCTTTCGTCGAGTTGTTGAGAAAAGACGCAGAGATCGTGGTCTCGACGTTGCTTGATGGCGACGAGCAGCGTGTGGAATTGGAAGTAGGTGACATCCTTGAACTCGATGCGTCTGAGTACCTCGATCCGAAGGAAGGTTTGGCTGGAGCAATGTTTGTGCTGTTTAACTGGTTATGATATCGTCCAAGGAGCAATTCGTAGGAAACGAAGGAGAACCATTATTGACGAGCTGAGATGGACATCATGCCCAATGGTCCGTGTGGCTGGCAGGAAGGGAGAGTTCGAGCTCGGTCAAAAGGTCAGGATCCCTTATCCAGTCGTCCCAGTTATTATAGGCATTGACATCTTGGCTCGTGTCTTCTAGCGCATCATTCTGCTGGAAAGACATCGAGGTCCTTGGGAAGCTTATAGTGTTCGCAGGAGGAGTTATCGTCTGACTCGAATGAAGGCGTCCCTGGGCGGCGATCGACGTCAAACTGTCGATTATGGCTGTCTGAGACTCGGAGTTCTGCGTAGGTACGGCGGTGTTTCCATTGATCGGGTGACCTAGGCAAAGACGCTTACGTGGCGGCTCCCTACCATTCGAAATATCATCTAGCACATACAGTTGCTGCCGATTACTTTCTGATTGATGTAGAAGTTGATCGAATAAGCCCATCTCAGGCGAGTTCTCTGCAATGATTTTCGGTGTGTTAGTAAAGTCATGTTGCAGATGCTGGCAGTGAAGAGCAGCCGCAACTAACGACTCCATCCCTGCACCGGCATGTTCATCGACGACACCGACATGACTAGGGTCCCCAAGTTGTACTGAGGTCTGATGTGATGGTAGTGAACCCAGAGGGTCGGGAAGAGCAGCGGTTGGAGTAGAAAACTCTTCATCCTCGCCGGGAGTAGATGGCGATGCTGTTGTGGAGGTCAGTCTATCACAAGAATCCAGGTCGTCTTCATCTTCGCTTTCATCAGACTCCAGATCGTCTTCATCTTCGCTCTTATCGGAACCAGGGTCGCCTTCATCCTCACTCTCATCAATGCGGTTTGCATATTTGTCTGCTTTCATAATTGCATTGATCGCGTCCACCATGGCTGCCCTCCTTTTGGCGGTACAGCGTTCTTTGTTAAACTCTCGGTATTGACAATATGCTTCTTCGACCGAAGTGTTCAGCTTTCTGGTAATTTCCACCACTGAGGGCTCATCGCGCAACGATAGAACAAGGCTCTCCGCGTCTTTAACGCTCAATTCACGCAATGTAGAAAGCTGGTCAAATAAGAGGAGAAGAGCATGGTCACGGGAAGACCATACCGCCAGCAAGACCTGTCCAAGTCTGAGAATGCGCCGAAGGTCCGAATCGATTATACCTTCGCGTTTTGCGAATTCCTCGTACACATGCTTAGGCTTTCCTCCCTTTCTCCATTCATTCTTCTCCTCACGCGATTTGTCTCTGTAGGATTCATATCTCTCGGTGAGATATATTGCTCCGAAGAACCCCTCCAGAAAGAACGCAATTCGGTCAAGGCCATGTCGTTTTCTTCCTGCTAAATCGCCACTGGCACGAGCTGCTGGATTTTCCGTGATCCGCCGAGAGAGAATTCTGCTGATGTTGGTCTTAGTAAGGATTTTTTCGCGTTTTTGGGCGTTATGTTGGACATTTCTGAATGCCCTGTCTCGACGGGAAAGCTTCGAGATGGGCTTCTCTCCCGGAACAGGGACAATGGAACATCCAGGGCGAGGCAGTGTTGGTTGCGGTAGCGTATTGCTTGCGCAGGCAGGAGCAACATGAGAGGATGGCGGGCTGATATTGCAACCACTGCCGTTGGGCCAGGAGACCACTTGCGGCTGTGAGACCACACTGTGTCCTGCCTTTTCTTGTGCAGGTCCCTCTTCAGTGATAATGAAGAGACTGGTCTGCAAAACGTGGGTCAAGTACCTCCAGGTGTCCAAGATCAAAGCGCTGTTTGTGGCCAATTCGTCAACATAAGCATTCTTTATCCGGTTACATGCATCGATCAGGTCCATCATTTACCACAGCGGATTTGATAGAAACAAAGGAAGAGAACGAGGTGGGAGATTTCGGCGAACCCCTGGCTGAATCTTAGGGGCGTTAGCAAGACTTGGCATTAGTTGGGACCCAGCACAATGTCGGGACATCTGGCAATGTCCCAATATTGTGGTGGATCCCAAATCAACATGGTGGCGCTCTTTGGGCGTGAAGTACGCAAGCCTGTTCTGCAACTTGAACTCATAAAGATATTCGCATATTAACCAGTGCAGGAACCCATGCTCTTCAAACGCCCCGTTACTATGATTCTCTCACCGGTTTCGCTGTCCTATCTATCATTTGCCCTGTTACTGCCTTGGACGTCTACGTTGCTGGAGAAAATACCAGGCCCACATCGATGCATCTGACCACGAATCAAGACGAACCAGTTGCACACTACAAATCTATTCCCAGCGGTGCTTCTGGAATTACCGCTGAAACTGAGGTTACCAAAGGCCACCACGGCGAAACCCCGACTGAAAACGCGCGTGACCGAGACATTACCGTCACCATCGACATCGACATCGAGTACGAAGAGATACTGTGCGAACAGGGATGGCTTGGCCCCGGATGTCCGCCGTTGCCGGCATCGGGCATTTTGGAGGAGAGTGTAATGGAGGTGAGGAAGGATAGCAGCTACATTGCACATGTGTACCATGGAGGCTTCGATACGCAGGTGCGACGGAAACTGCAGCGCTGGATCCAGGAGGGAAGGCTTCACTTGCACGGAGACAGAAGGAGGGGAAGGTGGATGGGAAGCGCTCTGCGGTCAGGCTGGGCCAATCTTTGACAGGGAGAAACGACTGGCTTGACTGCAATGGTTTTACGTTTATTTCGCTATCATGCGGCCCTTGTGTGTCGATCCGACGCTTTTGGTCACTCGCATTTCGGCGCCTGCAAGAGCGGCTGGGTTGTACTATCACCGGTTGACCGCCCTAGATATATCCTGTCAAGTATTCTGAACATTTAAGTGTAAGCTTTTGGTAGGTGATACCTATCTTTGAGGGAGCAGCAGATATTCCTTCCCAAGAACTCCAGTGTATTCCATCTCGAGATGGATCATCAGGACAATCGGGGGTCCCTAGGACCCAAGAAGCATTTTCCACCGGCCATCATGGTTCCTCAGGGTTCCCCCGATCATTATTTTCGGTCGGCGCCACCTCATTCCTCGGGTCCCCCAACATCATCAACTGTCATCGTCGATGAAGCTTCATCTCCGGCCTCAAACCCAACGTCATTTCCCAAGTTGACCCCAAAACCGCCTCCCCTGATCGTCGCCAGAGCGATGCCTGCTCATCTCCAGTGGCTGGATTTGAATGTGAGCGAAAACAGAACACAGGTCGATCCATCTCGTGATTCGTTCGAGAAATTTACGCAAGGCTTTAAAAACTTGCGTCGACTGTTTGGTTCCGGAACAAGCATCACGGAGGTCATCGTGTGCACATACCAATCCACTGAGTCGATCAGTCCCCAAGGTGGATCCATCAAGCTTGAAGATGATCAGTGTTTCATGAGGGTGAGGGACATGTTTTGATGTAACAAACGCGTAAAGGGTCGATCCGTGAGCTGACGGACTTTACAACAAGGCCAGCTTCTAGCGCCCAAACAGTCCAGCATAAATACACCGCATCTCCCTGCGCAGAACCTCTTTTCTTCTCGCCATTCCATTTGTTCTCACAACTGGAGAAGCCTCCTTGATACAGTTCAGGTCACATGGCTGACATTCGATCAACTAAACGCCTTCGGCGCAGCGACGAGCGCTATGAGCGCAGCGACGAGCGATATGAACCATTCAAGCCGGTGATATATGAAGACGGACGCGACTACGGACCAATGGTTTATTTCGACCAGACACAAGCTCGGTGCCTTCGTTCCGAGTCGTCTTTCTCGTGCCACATCGGTGATGCAGTTGCTATGGCGCAGAACTGGCGGCAATGGCAAATTCTGGACTATCTGCGACCTCAAGCATTCGATTTCATTCGAAGCAAGAAAGATTCGGACAATCCTCGTCGACTTCTTGAAATCTACGTCACGGGCCTCGCTTTGTGCATAGGAGAAACTATCTATGAAAGGCGACCCGACGGACGGCTGAGCCCTTGCAACCTGATGAACGTACGCGTCGCAGGTCCGAACATGGCATTCGAAGTTTCATATTGGCATGGGAGTCAGTTGTCAAGGATGGAAACTGTGTCTCTCCATCGTCTGGAGTCCAAATCGGGAGTTTCTCTACATCTTGGGCGACTGCCATGGGAAGGATTGCCCGACGATTGGCTTCTCAATTGGGCAAACGTTCAATATCAGAGGCATATTGATGATGGGGCAGTGACTATCGCCAGACATATTGGTACGGAAGATGGTACTTCTTCACGAGTGCATCGAAAAGGATAAAAGGACGAAACTGTATGATCGTCTGTCTCATCGTTGGAACTGGTCTTGTGTCGCGGACAGCTGGGACTTCTGTTATTTGATCTGGACTTCATGTATTGTAACTGCTGATCAGTACCGTGAATTGGGGTTTCGTCTCCTAAGTCTTTCGACCTTCGTGGAACACCTCCTCCCTCAATGGGAAGAAAAGCATGTACAGTTCTTTGAGACGCTTTCGACACACCGCTCAACACATCTTCCGGCATACCCGCTAGTTGCTAATAGTCTTTCTGGAGGACATCCCGAGCTTCTAGGCCACGATGGAGTAAAGAGCGTCCGGGGTCCTAGCGTGTGCGTCAGTAAATTGGATAAGACTTGACCTCCTCAGTACTTGGTGCGCCTCGTCAAAACTATTTGTAGAGAGTGGCGCCCGCTCGGAGCTGTCTTGCAACTGGTTCGCGCTCATTCGCGGACTTCGGTCCAGTCTTCAGAGCCCCAGTCTCCACGATAGTTGGTAAATGGTTGAGAGTCTGGTCCCTGATCGTATTCACTTGGATGCGGAGAGTCATGGCTCCGCTGGAGACTCAGCCTAATCCTTGCTGAGGAATAAATAGTCGCCTCTTTCAGGTAAGCTACATAGTCTCTGCGGCACAATTGACGCTACATGTTGGAGCTGATATCCTGATGCTGGTCCCTGTTCCAACAGTGACCCGAGCCAATCGTCAATAGTTCTTTCCTCGAGATCTGATTGATCAGCCCCTATCGATGGATGCCTCACCGTCCCTCAAGTTCGGCTGTCTTATCACCTCATCAATGTTGATAGGCATCGATGGATTCTGCATTATGTGCGCCCTATCGAGCTTATTACTGAGCCTGTAAAGATCTCTCAGGCATGGCGCCTAGAAAGGCGGTGGAGAGGAGGTCCATCAGCTATAACAACACACGTTCTCGCCATGAACAGTTGAACGTCCCTTGTCCACTCTAGTGTTCCGTCCATCAATATGTCACTATCCGCTCCTTCCTATACACATGACCGCAGTAATCAGATCCTGGGCTTAACGCCAAGTTTGAACCCGGATCAATGTCGATATCAATGCACTACAAGGCTAGGGAAATGCGGTACTTAGAGCTCCGTTTACTTTACCCAGTATTGAAGCTGTCTAACCAGATACTTCTTCAGAGCATCAATCCATGTCTGCCACTACTACCATTGCTGACACGCCCCGTCCATACACCCTGCAGGAGAAAGAAATTCCTGCTCAGGCCTTTGAGACCAAAAGCGCCTTTTCCATGTCAATCGAACCGTTGGTGAAGGCGCTGCTCTGCCTTCGATCGCCTGCAACCGAAGACGAACTCTTGCGACTAAGGATGGTTCCCGCCCACGTGGAAGAAACAACCGTGTATCTCGTTCTGGCACTATACAATACCAGGAAATCGGACCAGTTGCATGTTCCTGTCCCAGACCTGAGAGTGCTCCTAGACAAGATCGAGTACAAGACCATGGAACCTTTTGAACCATGCAAATTGATATTTTACCTCCTGATTAAAGTGGTAGCTATAGATCTCCTGGTACCACACGACCCGCACAAACAGTTACCACCTCCATCAGGGCCCTGCAGGACATACAATCCTCTTGAGATCATCGACGCCCAGATCAAATCTACTCAGCTCACGAAGTTGAGAACCTTTGTGGATTTTTTTCACCTGGATCATTTAGCCCGAGAGATCCTTCCCAATCTCAAAAATTTGGAGAGCGTGCAGGCACGGGATGAAAGGACACCTCAGGTGATCGAAGAGTGGAAGGAGATGTGGGCTCGGGCTCGTGAGAATAGCCCACTCAAATGTCAAAACCTCGAATCGATGGCCATCCCCGCCTGGCTCGACTACACCATCGAAAAACGACGACTTCCATCAGGCAAGATAAATGCATCGGATGCAACGGGTTCTTTACTTCGAGGGCTCATTCTCAACTCTCGCGTGCTTGAGCGTTTTTCACAGGAAGACCAAAAAATCGTGGTGGAAGGCGGAAGGCTCGACAGACTGTTCATGATCCTAAAAATGTGCGCTGAGATTGGACCTGGGTTCCGGGTGTGGATGCAAATGGCTCTCGCCTTGTGGGTCAACGCGCTACCCGGCGAAATCGACCTTGAAAAGCAGTGGATTTGGCAAATTAAGCCTGCCGTTTACGAGGGACCCGTTACCATTATGGTCAAAGAGAACTGTGTGACCAGAGGCGGAGAGCCCGTTGAGGGCACCATGGGGACATGGGCTATGCTGAGTCCAAATGGCCAGAAGGGCTTTTGCACAATTCAGGAACGACCAAACGAAACCTTTTTGTTCGACTTGGGCGACTTGGTATTGTATGGCGAACAATTGGTGCAGCTTAAAAACTGGAAATGCTGGGAGAATGGAATATGGGCCCAAGTCAAAACGGACGGAAGGCATTGATTAGTCGAGGACCCAGAGAACAAGTGGATTCACCCAAGGTATGAGGTACTTTCGACTGGCAGAGAAGCATGATCTCGGGAGTCAATGTTCCTACAAGTATCTTTTAGTACTGTCAAAGACCTCTCATTGCATGCCTCTCAGAGCCCTGGCCCCTTTATGCAAAGGCCGTGTAGATAAAGTTTAAAGTAACCATTGGAGGAGATCGCCGTTAGAGGTTTCTTTTTACATTTGATGATCTCGCATGATTGAAGGGGTTGACGCCTGTCCTCACCCCGACCCCCAAAAAGACCACCTTAAATGTACCACAATCTATCAGTTTCAAGGCTGCCAAAGTGCTTTTCGCATAAAGCTGCGGGAATTTCCAATCTGGCTGCCCTTGGATCTGCTCCTCTTCCCTTGTATCGTTCTCGTGTGCGACAATACATCTCAGGAATCAGCCCAACCGCCAAATGCGCTTTCCAAAGCGACTACATCAATAGCTGTCCACATCGGGTTTCAACTTTTTTACGATGGAACAGAGTGACTACGATTCAGCAATTGGTGACGCGGCGAGTATAGGCGACGAAACAGACACACAATCACTGGCGAGCTCTGCTTATGACTTCCCGATCGAGAACGGCCGGGAATACCACAAGTACCACCCAAGTGCCTTCTATCCTTTCCCCAACGATGACCATGAACAGGACCGATTGGACAGATTGCATCACAGCTACAAGCTTCTCAGGAACGCACTGCATTCTGCTCCGATTGAGCCGACAAACGTCCTGGACGTCGGCACGGGTACAGGTATTTGGGCTGTGGAGATGGCGGATCACTACCCACAGGCCATTATCACGGGGGTTGACTTGAGTCCTATCCAACCCGAATATGCACCACCCAACTGTAACTTTGAGCTTTTCGATCACCGAGATCCCTGGAGCTTTCCACGCAAATTTGACTTGGTTTACGCGCGCGATTTGCTTGGCTCAATTCCAGACCCAGAAGCATTCTTCCAACAGGCTTACCAGAGCCTTGCCCCTGGGGGTTGGATCGAAATCCAGGATACTACTCCGATAACAACCGACGATAATTCGATGCCACAAGGGTGTGCCTATCGTCAATGGATTGATAGTTTTTGCGAAGCATTAAGCAAAATCCGACGCGATGCCTACCTCGCAGAGAAGTGCGAAGACATCTTACGGAGGATTGGATTTATTGACGTGCGTGTGACAAAGAAGAAATTGCCTTGCAACGGATGGGCGAAAGACAAGAAGCTTAAAGAGCTCGGTGTATTCAACAACGGAATCATTCTTGATGGTTTAGAGGCGCTGTCCTTCCGGTTGTTTACCTATGTTCTGGGATGGTCCCCGGAACAATTACAAGTCTTTTTGGCGGAGGTCAGAAAGGACGTTAAGAATATTAGTATTCACGCATACACCACGATGTAAGTACAAGAGCCTCTCATTCTTTCTGCTTGTCCTAACCATAAGCTTAGGGTCAACATTTGCGGACAGAAGCCAGATAATATGATAGCATACCAGCGATGGCTTCAGGACTTTCGTGACCTACCATGATGGAGAACGTGAGGTGGTCACATTCTGGTTGCGCCTCGCATCCGCCTGTACGAGCGGCTGAACTGAACGATTTTGCTACTGTTGAGACTATGGATCATCTCATGCTAAGTCCCATCCGAGAGGTTACACTGAAAGATACCCTCTGCCTCACATCCTAGAGCACGTCTTCGGGAGCGAGGCACTCTACCATACCTCCTACCCTGATCATTGATGGAAGGTGCCAGAATACGCTTGATGAGTGTAAACAACAAATTACCCAGGCATCACGATCACACTACCTTAGCTCAGAAGAAAAGCTGAACGAGCTGCGTGTTTACAACAAGCGAAGGAACAAGGGAGATGCTTTTATTCGTTCAGTGATGTAGAGAAGGGAGGAAAAGGAGTGGTGACAGACTGAATAGAGAGAAGTGAGACACAGATACTGTACGAATGGTAGTCTCTAGACAAACATTACCCTAGCTTGATGACTGTAGTGCCCTTTCCTTACCCTTCAACTCGACGTTTCTTTTACTACTGCTTCGAAGAACGCGATCCCTTTCTACACCTCGTCCTGGCCCTTATCATCTGCCACGTCACGGGCGAACCTGTCGCTCAGTGGATAAATGAGTGCATTGGTGGTTCGATGGGCGTGTCGTGGAGTACCCTACCTAGGGAGCACATATTTCTCTCCCTGACTCCAGAGGGGTGGTTGTTAGCTTGATACGGCCTGGTAATATTGACAGTAAACAAGCCTCCGTCCCGATCGATTTATATAATGGACCTCATCGCCACAGGAGCTACCTCGAGGCCCAGTTGTGAGTTCCATAACAATAGTCAGCATCACGAACCCGGCCTCCTGATGGCTACCTACGATACACTCTTGTTCTTCGCATTGTTGTAAGTACCCACCCGTATCCGTTATGTTTATGCTGACTTTACTAGAATTTTTAAATATATTCGGCTTATCGTTCAAGGCTTAGCCTATCTCAGATATAGACCTATTCCCATCCCGAAGAACCCGAACCTTACACCGGCTGCTGTAACGACTGTAATTGCAACGCTCGGTAAAAGTCCCGTTGCACTTTTCGAAGGAGTTCACTGCCATATACAAGCCGGAATCCAGAACATTTGGATCTGTACGCCTCCTAATACGTTTGAAGAAATTCAAGCCTTATCGATTGAAATTGCAAAGCGGCACGACAGAGTTCGAATTGATGTATGCCAGGCTAGCTATGCCAATAAGCGAGAACAACTTGCATGCGCCATTACCCATATTCCTGAAGATCGAAAGCGGGTCCATCGAATTATAGTGTTCGCTGATGACGATATAGTATTTCCCGAGAACACCGTGCGATGGATGCTTGCAGCTTTTGAGAAGGATAAAGTTGGTGGAGTAGGGACCTGTCAGCGAGCTAGAGGTGTCGCCGATGGATCACCCTCGCGGAGGATTATCAATTCAATCTTTCGTGACTATATTGAACGTCGAAACTTCGAAAATCTAGCAACTTTGACAATAGATGGTTCGATCTCATGCCTATCAGGGCGAATGGCTGGCTTCCGATCGGAGATAGTCGAAGACCCTCGATTCCTCAGCGGATTCACAGGTGAGACATGGAACGGTCGACCGCTGAACGCTGATGATGACAACTTCTGGACACGTTATCTACTGGAGAACGACTGGAGCATCAAGATTCAAAGCCACAGAGAGTGCCAGGTCGAAACAATATTCGGTACGAGTACCCAAGAACTCTGGCGATTTGTGCGATGGCAGAGAAGCAATCCGAGGAGCAACTCGAAAAGTTTACGAAACTTCAAAAATTGGCGGTAAGAGAGATATCCTACAGGTCCGGGCCGTGCTAATTAATAATAAGAAAGTATCCCTGGGGTACCTACTCCTTGTACATCTCCGGCTTCGTGAATTATGGCATCCCCCCCGACATTATACTCTGGCGGCTTCTGCTACGAGTCACTGCTACCTACGAGCAACGGAGAATATGGACTGTATTGTTTTTCTTTTGGTGGTTATTTGCTAAAATAGCGAAGAAAATTCCTCTGTATCGCAAGGACTGGACGCATATGATATTCATCCCAGTTGCTATTCTCTGGGGCTGGTACCATGACTTTATCAAGCTATACGCACTCACCACCTTGAATCGAGTAAGTCCTATTACAGTGCAATGGAGATGATTACTCACTTTTGGTAGACTGGTTGGGATTGAATGGAAAGGATCGATTCCCTCAAGGCTCTTCGCAAATTTTGTTACAAATTGATCGTATCAGAGATGGAAGAAAAGAAGCTTGCAAACAAACCACTGGCGAGCATTTGATGACACTTCTCAAATTCAGCTTACGATCCCTGCTGCGGTACAGCACGCAGAAAATATTGCTTCGAAAATCCCGGTTTACTCGTGCTGGCAAATGGTGACTTCCATATGGTTGGCGGAATTCTGTCTATAGTCGCCCACAAATGGCTGGAGTTATGAAGTACTACTGTGCGTCTCCACACAAAATGAATCTTGCCGTACAGGAGAGTCCCTCGACCGGAACGAGAAGTCGCATGTGTCTCCCTAGCATTATCGCAATTCGTGAGTTAGAGCCTATTGCCTATACGGCCGCCATCGGTATCCGCCAGACTTCATTCTTCTTGCACTATCGCCTATATGACGCTCTTGGCTGCGGTTGGATCTTCAATAAAACCTTCCGGGACTGGCCGGAGTGCCACGCGGAAGCTCCAGTTCCACTGCCTGTCCGTCGACGCCTGCAGTCCAGGTCTTCCCGAGCCGTTCTGCCAAGCACTCAGCCTCCATTGAACTCGCCACTTTGCCGGCTTGATCGAGATGCGTTACGAATTGCATGGTCTAATAACGACATCCGTTGCCGTCGGAATCGAAAATGTATTTGTTAAGGCCATCGGTCCTGATCAGATTGAGGACATCCTTGACTGTCAGATCTGGCACAGGGTTCAGGGTAACGTAGAACAAGCCGCGGGCCGTCACAGAATATTGCTTCAGCGTAACTTCGAGTCGAAGTTTGTTCGTCATCGGAGCAGGATTGGGGTTTGCAAGGAGTGACTGATCTCGAGGGAAAAGGTCCAATGATTGGTGTACTTGGTGGGCGGGTCGTCGACATCATGCGGGGGATAGCACACGAAGTAGATCTCTCGGACTATAGCATTTTCATGCTGCTGAAGCTTGGGAGGTATCCATATGATGCCGATGGTGGTCGAGGAAGGCATGCTGAAAGCTAACACGTAAGGACTCGAGGAGTAAAGACCGGTGGACGGGATGACGCAGAGGGTTGGATTGGTAGGGAAACCCTGGCGATATGGACGACGATAGTGTGGTCCAGAGAGTTGTATCCTGCCATGGGAACGGCAAGGCGAGGCTTATATACCTTGCGGCGCTTCACAACGGCATCAGCTCGAAAGCCAGGTAGAGCGATACGGCCGATTCCCGGAATAACCCCTATTGTTTGACATTCGAAGTACGAGACCCCTCTACTTAATTTTCCCAGGTATATATTGCATAATAATATATATAGACTCGTGAGCTTGACGGTCTGTATACTGCTCGGAAGTCTAATAGTTATAGACCTCTGGTATAGATATGTAGACTTATTCTTGAACTTTCATCATAGTTCGACCCTAACCTAGGGAAATCTGGGTACCGTATCTGACGACAGTACCGTTTGAAACGGGAGTAACAGCCTTTGCAGGAATACCTCCATCGTTGGGCAAATCTCCGCCAGTCTGAAAGAGCTTCGGAGCGTGCGCGACCACCGATTCAATTTGTTCTCGCGTCATATATTGTGGCGCTAGATCAGCGAGGGGAAATGGTCCTGTGAAAGCTAAAGGATCGGGTGGTAGGGGGTTCATCATTCTGTCTGTTGAAGATGCTGATCAGCAAAACGTTTGAAAAAGTCACATGTGTAGGAATTTGTTTCCAAATTGTCATATCGCAGAAGCGATTGAGCGCAATACGTAGTTAGAAACAGCGGAAAGAAAAGATTGTTGGTCTTGGCATGTAAAGAACGGGGATTGTTGTGGTAGGTTTAGCGAGCATCATGTGGTTGCCAAGACGCCCTTTGGCCCATCTCATGTGATGTCACATGTCACCCTAGCTCTGGCGGTTAAGCTCCGACTGCGACCGCAACCTCGCTATCAACTACATGAAAGCTGCTCATTCCTTTCTCCCTTATCTAGAGCAACCACGGTACGTCGAGGCAGTGTGACTGCTCAGAAGACCAGAAGGCGTGACGTACACTAGCGTCGTAAAAGAGGGACAAACTGAACTCAAAGCAGCAGTTTCGGGTCGGAGCGCACCTCTTGACTTCAGATTAAAGATGTTTAGAAGGTTTCAAAATCTTGACTGAAGAGCGTGGGCTCTTGTGAAGGACGTGTGGATGCAGGAAATGTTTGGGAAAGATGGCCTGAATGTTGTTTCACTTACTGTACCTCATGGCGATCATGGCCGATAAAGCTTGTGCCCTGGGTTGCCGAGCATATTTGGGCCGCCTGCCCAAAAACAGGAAAAGGGCTGTCGTTCCCTGGAAGGTTTCTGGCCTTCGCACTTACAACTTGCTGGTGCATATAGCAGAGATTCCTCTCCTCGCTGCTCTCACCTTGACACAGGTATGTCTAGACATCGAACGCTCCGAACACTCCGAATAACCTTTATACGTTCTGCAATCACGGTAACACAGGCTCGGTTGAATGACTCCTGAGAAGACAATGTGACCATTCCCATTCACGATCCGTGCTGAGCAGCCCTCAGGCCCCTGCAAGCTGTGCTTCCTGGGCTGCTACTCACCCTTCTAGGTTGTTCTTCTTGAGGATCTCGTCAAATATCGCCGCCGACCCTTCGACGAATGTCTTTCCCGCTGCTTCGATATTGACTTTGTGTGCCACGCTCTGAAAGGTTTCTTCCTTGAGCCTTGTACCTTGATCAAAGGCAGACAGCCACTCTTTTTCTTGTGTCAATAGTAGTTCGAAGTGTTTGGCGTTCCGGGCGATGATTTTGATGTCACCACTGCGGAAGCTGTATACTGCCACTACCTTGATGCCTTTGAAGGTTTGTCCCTGTTTTGCAGCCAGGTCGATTACCTGGTTCACTGCGGTCACTATTGCCGTGGATCCGAGCTTTTGTATTGCTTCGGCTTTCTCGGGCCGATTAGTCCTGATGATGATCTCGTAGTCTTGAGGGTCGTTAGAGGCAGCTATCGAGCTGTCTTTGATGGTTCGGATCGTAGGAGGGGGGTGCGCTAGACTTCTGGCTGCGATGTCAGCCCATCTCTTGAATCCAAACGCGCTGGTGCTTATAGTGACTGTAGCTGTAGCTTTTGTCACTACTGTGAGGTCTTTCTGGATGATAGCTAGATTCTAGTTCACTTTGCCGAAGTGATTGTTGAGGGCCTCCTGGAGGTCCTTAAACGCGGAAATTTTCAATCGTCGTCTTTGTAAGTTCAAGGCGAGCTTGATGTCTGAATAGCAAGCTTTCAAGGTAGCGCCAGGGTGGTCAGATACATACCTATCCAGCTTCTCTGCGAAGTCGATTAGTTATGCTTGCCGATGCTTATTATGGTCGTGTTACGGTGACGGACAAGAGCGCGTTTTCGGGTCGCCTGACCTATCTGGACGGTATTACCTACACCACGAGACCATTACGCTCGCCCCACGGTGATGCCTCGGATAACCTTCCCTCTAGCTCCCTCATCCTCATCCTCATCCTCATCCTCATCCTCATCCTCATCCTCATCCTCATCCTCATCCTCATCCTCATCCTCACTAGTTACTACTTACTACTTACAATTCCACCAATGGAACAAGGAAATATATTAACAGAACCTCAGTCCCAAAAGATCTCGTTCACGTGTCCTCACTGTGGGAAAACATTACCCGTGCACAACAAGACACGGCACCTCCGGTCTTGCGAGAACAGATTACGCGTCGAGTCTCCAAAGATCCCCTCTACGTGTCCTCACTGTGGGAAAACATTGCCCGTGCATAACAAGACACGGCATCTCCGGTCTTGCGAGAACAGATTACGCGTCGAGTCTC